GGGAAACATTCTGCCGACCAGACCAGGTTCCTCCAAACTGTACTTCCAATGTCATCACGAGCCTAAATATAGCAGACTACTTGGAGCTTACACAGGCCAGGCCCTCAAACAAGATTCCCGTGTCGTTGATTATGGTTCTGATATCCATGCGACGCACCACTGCACTCTGGTCTAACGACTTGTGTCCAGCCTCTGCAACGCAGTCGCTTCATTTGTTGACCTCTGGCCTAGATTGAGAGCTTCATCACATGACTCTCCTCAATAAGAACCTGCTGCGTTTTACGTTCATTGCAGTTCAGATTAGGCACCCGTCATGTCTTTTACAACATGCTGATATTTAAGAGTCATCCCCAGATTATGCCCAAATGCCAAGGGCACCTTCCCCTCTCTTTGGCAAAAGCCAGAAGCTCACGCCCAAAGTTGATAGTTGAACGATCTTTTGATGTTTCGCCAAAAAGCAGGATGATTGACGTGGAATTTATTGGAATCCTCCTTCATCCTTGTCAGACAATGTGATGAGAGAAAGTTTGCGTCTTGCTCGCTGCATAGCTCGAGTGCTGGAGACGATGGAAATCGTTCATGCTTTTTGTTTGTTTGTTTCCTGTTGTTGGGCAGGGTGACCACCAAGCTTTTGACAGTGATGACCTTGAGGACGTTCTAGAGTGCAACTCAGGATGGAGGTTGATTCTCCGCATTTCTGCATGGCCTGTTCACGATTGCTCACTTTGTGGATATTCAAGCTTAGCTCTGATGACATTCGACCCATTTGGGTGTTGGCTACTAAAGCACGAGACTTAAAGGGCGCTGCCCTTTAAGGGCGCTAAATGCAAACTGCATACTCTCGCTGCTCGGAGTCATTGACAGGTCGAGAGGAAGCTTTAGATGTGATGTGGTTCCTTCCTTGGGCGTCACCGTCACGAAGAGTATCCGAGAAATAACTGCCACTTCGAATTTTGAACAGACTTTGATCCAAAGACTAGAAAACAAAATGCTCTTACTAGTATGTATTGCGATAGCATTCTCTTGCTATGATATTTTCTTGAGTTATTTAGTATCAAATGTGTGATAAATTTGACAAAGATAATATCCGAATAGCCGAAAATATTGGATGAAAAAACCGGCGCCTTGGTTACTCAAGTACAGCAAAATGTTTCCAAACTTGTGAAACATGAGTGTGCTTGCTAGGTTACCACTGTATTATATATACAACAAATTTCCATGATGCTTTCATATGTTAGTCTTGTATGTTCAGATTCTCAAATCTGAAAGATTTAAAGACAGAATGAAGTAAAACCAAAAAGAATTCTGACTATATAGATGTGAAAAACATCAATATAAACAGATTTTAGAGCTAAAACTAAAAAATAATCTGTGTATATAGATGTTTCACATCAATATAACCAGACTTCTTTTAAGTCTCACTTCATTTTGTCTTTAAATCTTTAGATTAGAAAATTTGAGTGTACAATCTTAATATCTAAAAGCATCAAAAAAAATATGCTATATATATAATTTCATGATAATGTAACAAGCACACTGTTATTTCAGAGTGCGAAAGAAGTTACATAAATCTACAAAATTGATTTGAATTGTTAAAAAAAATTACTACATAATACAAAACACTTTTGGGTATCCAACATCGATAAATTTTCGCATTGATATACATCGAAGTCACACCGTCTTCCATGTTATAATATATATCGAACTACTGATGATTTCTAACATAGAGATGTTCAGAGTACATGCAATAAGGCAACCCTAGAGAAGCATGTCAAGGAAGTAAAGAGTGAAGAACATCAAAACGAAACACAAGAACTAACCCTCAGAAACCTCCGTTGGAACCAGAAGAAACTTCCATTTTCATCTATTGGCTCTATGACCTTCTTTTAACACTAAGCATTCAAAGCTTCTTGAACTCAGAGCAGAGCTTGTAGAAGAGAACTCGTGTCTTCATTGGACCATGACGTCTGCATAGTTTGAAGCAACTCAATGCCACAGGTACCAAAACTTATTGTAGCAGACATCATGTGATCGCTCATGAAAGATTATGACAATTTCTCCTCAAGCCTTCAAGTAGCTTGCAAATAAAATGTCAGTGCACTCCCATCTCGATTACACCAAATGCCTTAAAAAATGCAAGAAAGAGTCAAAGCACGAGTGGGACTAAGAGCGGAGTGTTCGGGGCCACATGCGGAAAAAAGAAATTACAATGAGCAGTAGAATGAGGAATAACCAGGTAAGAAGTAAAGCAAGAGCGTACCAAGGGTGAGGACGCGAAGTTGATAGTTGAACGATCTTTTGATTTTTCGCCAAAAAGCAGGATGATTGACGTGGAATTTATTGGAATCCTCCTTCATCCTTGTCAGACAATGTGATGAGAGAAAGTTTGCGTCTTGCTCGCTGCATAGCAAGAGTGCTGGAGACGATGGAAATCGTTCATGCTTTCTGTTTGTTTGTTTCCTGTTGTTGGGCAGGGTGACCACCAAGCTTTTGACAGTGATGACCTTGAGGACGTTCTAGAGTGCAACTCGGGATGGAGGTTGATTCTCCGCGTTTCTGCATGGCCTGTTCACGATTGCTCACTTTGTGGATATTCAGGCTCAGCTCTCATGACATTCGACCCATTTGGGTGTTGGCTACTAAAGCACGAGGCTTAAAGGGCGCTGCCCTTTAAGCCCCAAATGCAAACTTCATACTCTCGCTGCTCGGAGTCATTGACAGGTCGAGAGGAAGCTTTAGATGTGATGTGAGTCCTTCCTTGGACTACACCGGCACATTCACGAAGTATATCGAGACATATATGCCACTTCGAATTTTGAGCAGATTTTTATCCAAAGACTAGCAAACAAAATGCTCTTTCTATTATATATTGAGATAGCATACTCTTTCTATCCCAATGAGATTTTCTTGAGCTACTAACTGTCAAACATGTGATAAATTTGACAAAGATAAATATCCAAAGAGCTGCCAATATTAGATGGAAAAACTCGCACCTTGGCTTCTCAAGTAAAGCAAAATGTTGGCTTCTCGAGTAGAGCAAAATGTTGCCGACCGTGTGAAACAACAGTGTGCTTGCTAGGTTATCACTATATCATATGTACAACAAATTTCCATGATATTCTCATATGTTATAATTTTACACTTTGATTCTTAAATCCAAAAGATTTAAAGACAAAATGAAATAGAACTACAAAAAAATCTGATAACATAGATGTGAAACATCAATATAAACAGATTTTAGGGCTAAAACTAAAAAAAAATCTATTTATAATGATGTTTCACATTGATATAACCAGACTTCTTTGCAGTTCCATTTCATTTTATATTTAAATTTTTTGACTTTAAAAATCTAAATGTACAATCTTAACATCTAGAAGCATCAAGAAAATATGTTATATATATAATATCATGATAATATAACAAGTACACTGTTATTTCAGAGTGCGAAAGAAGTTACTTAAGTCTGCAAAATTGGTTAGAATTGTTAAAAAAAAATTACTGTATAATACAAAACACTTCTTGGGATATAACGCCGATCCGTTTATACAATGATATACATCGAAGTCAACCCGTTTTTTATGTTATAATATCTATCGAACTACTGATGATTTCTAACATAGAGACATTTAGAATACGCGCAATGAGTCAACCCTAGAGAAGCATGTTATAGAAGAAAAAAATTAAGAACATCAAAACGAAACACAAGAACTAACATTGTGATACCTTTGTTGGAACCAAAAGGGACTTCTGTTTCCATCCATTGGCTCTATGACCTTCTTTTAATACTGAGCATTCGAAGCTCCTTGAACTTGTAGAATGGAACTCGTCGTCTCCACTGGACACCAACGCCTGCATAGTTCGAAGTAACTCGATGCCAGAGGTACCAGAACTAATTGTAGCACACATCATGTGATCGCTCATGAAAGATGATGACAATTTCTCCTCAAGCTTTCACGTAGCTTGCAAATAAAATGCTAGTGCACTCTCATCTCGATTACATCAAAGAAAAGAGTAAAGAGTCAAAGCAGGAGTGGAGCTAAGAGCAGAGTGTTCGAGGCCACAAGCAAAAGAAAGATATTAGAATGAGCAATAGAATGAGGAGTACCAAGTTAAGAAGTAAAGCAAAAGCGTACCAAGAATGAAGGCGATCTTAAAACTTCCTTGCAATTCAAAATTTAAACTCTTGAAGTCGTGCAAACTCAATCTGCGCTTCTTCAAGAGTTTGAATTTTGGGTTACATGGAGTGCAAACTCAATTTGCACGCATTCAAGAGTTTGAATTTTGAATTGTATGGAGTGCAAACTTAATTTGCACGGCAATCGCAAGAGTTTGAATTTTAGGTTGCATGGAGTGCAAACTCAATCTGCACGCATTCAAGAGTTTGAATTTTGAATTGCATGGAATGCAAACTCAATTTGCACCACAGTCGCAAGAGTTTGAATTTTGAATTGTATGGAGTGCAAACTTAATTTGCACGGCAATCGCAAGAGTTTGAATTTTAGGTTGCATGGAGTGCAAACTCAATTTGCACGCATTCAGAAGTTTGAATTTTGAATTGCATGGAATGCAAACTCAATTTGCAGGGTTCTCGCACGAATCAAAGGAAAAACAGATAGTGATGTGACATCAAGATAAATATGATTGGACTTGCGAGCAAAAAGACAATAACATCACAATTTGCTTTCGCCTCTTCAATATATGATGTAGTTACTCCATCCCATCTTGTTTCGACTGACAAGCACAATTACGTTTCGACTTTCCAATGTAGTTCTAATGACTAAAAATCACTTGCGAACAAAAACAACAATTACTTCACAATTTGCTTTCGCCTCTTCAATATATGATGTAGTTACTCCATCCCATCTTGTCTCGACTCACAAGCACAATTAGGTTTTGACTCTCCAATGTAGTTCCAACGACTAACAATCACTTGGTCTTCTAGTGTTCCATTCTCATGCTCTTCTTTCTTACTTCCCCTCCCATTTCCTTGGCACTTCCTTATACTATTGCTTGTTGTCATCTCTTACTTCAGCTTGTGCTTGTGATCCCAAACACCGATTATTCACAAAGTTAGAGTTTTGAAAGAAACTTGGCTTGAAATGTGAACAACATGCATTTTGAGCAGATTTTATGCATGGCATGTGCATGACGATATATATTTTCAGGTTTCAACATGATTCCTTTTACGTTTTGAATCACCGACACATTCACGTGCTAGGTGTCCAATTTCATTCTGCACGTGTTTGATAGTTCGAGTACTGCTTATGGAGCGTTCGGTGTATGTGGTCTATTGATTTTAGGTTGACATCTGCACTCTCACCCTGCTCGTCCAGCCCAGCCCATCATAACGACTCAGGCCTGGTGGACTTTGGATTCGAATCCTGGAGTGTCAAATCTCTTCTAAAATCTGTTGAAAGAATTTCGCGATTCAGTCCACAACATGTATTGTCAATTGGCAATCAGGGTGTATTTACAGACTCAGAAAAGCACCATCTTACGAGTGCCGGGGACTCTCAAGAGTCTACCAAGAAGCGACAGTGCATCTCTCGTATGAAAGAGGTGTCTCCTGAAGTCCTAGAAGCGCCTAATCTTCTGCCTTTCTTTCTCTCCGTACATTGCACATACAGTATTCGAGATTCTTGTTGAAGATGAAATCTAGTCACAGCGAGGAATGGAACAGGTACACTGGAAGGACGAAGCGCACTAATATGCCACTCATTAGTGTAGGGAGAACTAGCGCAAAGTGCAGCAAGTAGTTCGAGGGTGGAACTGAGATGAGTGATTTGCCAAACTGGGGGCAGTAGGGCGTCAAAACCAGGCGAGAGAACTAAAAGCCAAGTGGAGTCATTTGAGAGAGCTCTCGGCGAAGACGAGTCAATGGCCATCAGTGATCAGTATGCTGCAAGAAGGAGCACATCTTCATTTCCGAACGTCAATCTAGTGGCGGCAAACTCATTGTTATCCTGGTCACCAACTCATGAGACCAATGAAACAAAGGGCTTATTGATGGGAGAGGCGAGTCAAGTCCTCCCTCCTCCTGCAGCTGGTCACGATTGGTCGGTCAAGAAAAGTCAATCCGCCTCGCCCTTCAAATGCCGGACTCGAGGATAAACTCAACCAACTCGCAGCGTTTTTCTCCTGTAGCACTGCATTAATATGGACTGTCATTCTGCTGCCAATGTACTTTTCCACCAATTTCCCTCCCTCCATCAGCTGCTAACGGACGATGGTATGAAATGAACCTCTGCACTCCAAATCTCAGTGGTCCAACCACAGCCGGTAGACTTTTTTCACCTTAATTTCAGCTTGTGCGAAAACTTAATCAACACCTTTAGCAGTCTAAACAGGTTCCAGCCCGGGTTTTTCACGACTACGATTACGAACTATCTCATTGGTGTGGGCTAGTGGGCTGCATGCATCACTACCTGGGGTTTTCCAAATGCATTGTCACCATCCTGGCCAACTTCATGACCAACTCGACAAATTGGAGAGTCACGCACTGGAAGGTGGGTGTGGTCCATGATGCGAAGGTGGGTCGATTGGGGTCACAGATTTTCCACTTCCGATGACTGGGCTCTTCTTTTGTGATTTGGTGACAAACGCGAGAAGCTGCAGTGATGATGAGTGGGCTTGAACAAGAGAAATGAGGACGCAGTGAACAGGATGGTAAGAGTCCATCAGTAACAGCACTCCTGTCATTGAGCATTTATCGTCCGGCTTGGCCTCGTCAGGGAACCAGATGAGGGAGGGAGGCAAGCAGCAGGCCTGACCTTCTAGATACTGGAACAGGGTACTCTGACCTCGGTGATGCAATTCATCGCTCGCTTGTTTCGGAGCAGGGATTGCTTGTAGCTGACTGGCCAGTATGGCTTCTTACGTTTGCGCGTGCTTAATGAAACGTACCCCACCTGTACACTGATGATTGGTTCTGCAGCATCGTGGACCAACAGCAAATCACAATCGAGTGTACATCTCTCTGCCATAAAACTTGAAAGGTACAAAAGCGCGCTCGTCAATACTCTCGTCGGTACAAACTCCTGTAGCCCAGCCCGAGATTCCAGATACCGGTGGTCATGGTCTTCGTATAGCTGCACATGCCTAAATCCCATTATATTACTGGAAACTGTCAGCATGTACATGCATGTAGAAGTCCAGAGTTCCAGAGCTGAAGCATCTGCGAAATCTCACTGAGCTGAAGAGTCTCAGAATAGCTCTCACTTCTGTTTCCGTGTCCAAATGAATCTCATTCATTCATGTAAATCATGAATTGCAGTTTATAATATTTCGAATTTTAAGCTCGAAAGCTCGTTTGACATAACATTATCATGGAGTTTGGATCATCTTACGTTGAGAGCCAAATGCAGGCTGTAGCAGAGTACTCAAGACTGAGCTCGCCGCTCAGAAAAAATACGCAAGCATCTTCAAGTCTGAAAGAGATGACGTGACTTCACGAGCACTTGAAAGTTTTCGGAATTACTGCATTCAAACTTCTTCTGCTGGTACTTGGAAGTTCCCACGATGGGAGAGAGACTCTATCTGAACGCAGAACAGCAACGCAGAAATTGATAGCGAAAGCTTACAGAGAAGATATCTTGGCACGCTTTCGGGCTCCATTTTCCATCTCTCATTGGTAGGCTTGAATGTATCTGATTCGATCTTGAAAACGATGGCAGTCGGCTCCAAATGATTTGCAACTAGTCATTTATTGTGGATGCAGAACTGCAGCAGCTGACACGAGATTTAGCTCTTCATCCTGAACAGGACGAGGCGAAGACAACGTCTCCCATGCTCGATCCTTGCCCTGTCGGTGCAAGCAGACTCATGCTCTCGGAAGCCGATGCTGGTAAGAGTCTTCATCACCCCAAAAGTCAGGACAGGTGGCGGATCACGTCCTGAACTAGCTATCCTGCGCTTTGAAACCTTCAATCATAGCCAATTCAACATACTGGCTACCAGCTTCTTGGCCATATGAGTGGAACTGTGCGATGGTCGCTCGACAGGAGTCCTTACTGTACAGCTGATCAAGAGTTGGAAGCATGATAAAAGTGGTTTTTGGGGTTTTCTAGGAAAGGCAAAAGACAAAGTTGTTCCATAGCTTCTCTGAAGGTGAAGGTGCGCATCCTCTCGTTCTCTAATCATGCAGTCAGGCTTGGAGTTGAAACTCTAATGCAACCAAGTTCGCATTGAACAAACCCAACAATCTATGGCTGCCTCTGTAATGATCGGCGAGTAGAGGCTGAGGTTGAGCGAATGGAGGTGATAGGACTTTTGGACTTTTTTCCCCCTTTCGCCTCAACGCTGTCCCACTCAAGCAAGGCGCCTGGATTTCGAAAAGCGACGCTCAGATGTTAACACGTACACTATTCTTAAAGCTCGTCGTCGGTGCATCATTTGTCATGTACAGTCGGTATGTTGACAGCAGATGTATCTCAAAACGACCGATTTACATCTCGTACTGCACAGGACAGTCCTTAGTCTCGCACCTACTCCTACAAGTCGGTCATAGTGGCCGGAACTTTTGCGACCGAAAGGTCGTAAAGCAGCTCCCTCCTCCATCAATCTGTGGCCTTTCATGAACAGGGTACAGCCAATCGCTGATCAATCGTGTGAGCAAATTGAGCTGAAATCACGGTCATCCAGACTTGCGAAGGTGTAAAGAGAATTGTAGAGAGTGGACGGAGCCCTACTTCCTCTTCGTACAACACATTTAAATAGAAAGGTTGGATTTATTCTGAACAAACCAAATCTTACATTCCCCAGTTATGAACATTCATCTGTCACGCAAATATGTATCGGACGTTGACACTGACACCTCCTCGCTTTGGTAGGAGTATGACACGCCTCACACAGCCCGTGATGATTCCTGTCAATTACTGACAGGTGCACAAGATGGTTGCAATTAAACCGTCACTCGGAATTTGAGCGACGTCATGTACTCAGCAATCTCTGAAATGATCGCCCCGGTTGCTCTTTCCAACTTGAGCTTCAATTTAAGAGGCATTTTGGTCGGGGCATCGCTCCTATTGCAGCCTCGCAAAGGTGAACCATTGATTGTCTATGTTCACCATGTGCGTGTGAATGCATGTCTCTGTGTCATCGGACAACAGTTGTTATCAAAGCAACTTGTGGCATAAGCACCAAGCTGACCGGGAGAACCATTGTGGGCAGCGGCAGATATCAGACGAACGAGCAACGACAGCAGCCAACAAGCACATAGCGGCAGGAAACAGTTGCCAACGAGATGCGGTAGTGTCAGCCAAAGATTGTGACAGCAAACACGCTGCGACAAGGACAGTGATGCCGAGCGACAGTCTGAAGGGCAGCATTGGGTTACAAGGTACATACTTGGAAGAAGAGAAGATGGTGAGTAAGAAACAGAAAAAGTAAGAGAAGAGAAGGAAGTTATGCTCGGATCTTGACGGAGCTCTGATGAAATCTCAAACTGGAGGAAATAATACTTTCTGTTCATGGTTTTTCACTCTATGATTTCAGCCCTTGTTTTGCTATAAGACGCACTATAATGGAGGTAGAATTCTTAAATTTTCTATTTTGTGCCATAAGGTGGTTCTTATCATCTAAAGTCCACAACAAACAAGTGACTTGGCTAAAGGTGGACTGTGGTATTTTTTTCTGCCATGAGGTGGCTTACACGGTCTTGGTTCCAATGTATTCCTATGCAAGGACCATGAGCAAATATGTAAGGATTCGTTTGTGGAAGTTAGGGAATGAGAGGTGAGACTTTACTTGAAGAAATTATTTGCACATATTTTTTTTTGTTCTTGAAGTATTTCCTGTCTTGAGTAGTGACACCGTCCGTAATTGTATGTACAACGAGCGTCTAGTCCAGCAACTGTACTGCTTTTCTAAAATTTTCCTCTTATGGATGTGATTTGGACAAACACATGTAAACAACAACCCATTTCATTTATCGATGAGCATGAGTGCAAAAGAGAGGTAGGACGAAAACCTCCAATTTCCAAAATTCATTTCGACATCATCTTCGCATTACCTGCAGCAACAATGGCAACATATGACTAGTGAGCCTCATAAGGACGCCTCCACGCCTGCAACCTTGAATTCTCTATCATCAAGTAGATGAGTCGACACAACAAGGAGCTCTAACAACAAAGGCGAAACAAAAGAAGTCATCTTGTGTTTGATATACGTGTTCATATATTATAACTTGCAACTAGACTTACGTAGCTTAACGTATTCTCATGCTTTGGCTTCGGTTTTTAAGTGCACCTTAAGAGTGAAATCTTAAGAGTGAATCTTAAGATTTATATGTTAGTGGCCATATTGATTCCAATGCAAGGGTTCTCTTATATTCCAGTTTTTAAAAATTAAAAAAAAAATCTTACGTTACTTGAAAATTTTGATGGGTTTAGCATTCTTGGAGCTCCACGTACTTATTACTCCCTCCGCGCCTGATTGCAGGACACCGATCCTCGGAGCCTTGCCTGGATTTTGAAGGATCTCTCCCGACAATTCTACTTACACGCTCATTTTAGCTGAAATTCGCTTTATTTTCCATTCTTTACTGAAGATGATTAATTTGGCGATCTAACTGCCAAACACACCAACAACTGGAAAAGATTACTTAATGGGACATACCATAACACAAAAAATTGATTGCGAAACATATAAACAATTAGAAAAAATGACGTGATGTGAACTGTGTAACACAAAACATTTATTCGGATAATATTTATAATTATTACGTTATCATTGACAGCACATAATAATCCATGTTCTAAAAAAAATTCTTCTAACTATATTGTTGACGTCTATAATGTGGCGGGTTAGTAGACTGCCGTCTCGTCATTTCCAACGTATGAACTACGAATATCTTTCGTAGCTTACTCAAAGGTCTGATTCACAAGATCAATTGATAGAGAGATTCCCACTTTTTGACATTTTATCTTTCTTGTTCAATTCCAGCTCAGAATAGAATGGGATATAAATTCACTTCAAAGTTGTAATTATCTTGACCGTGAATGGTAACAAGCCTTTGGGAGAAACCAATTTCGCACAACTTGAGTAACTAGTTTATCGTACTTGACTTGTTTGCAGTCAATCAGGTTGGAGTATTTATTTTGTAAAGCTCATTTGTAGTCGATGGTACTACGTAGATAGCGACATCATACACAGTAGTGAATCAATCTGTGGAGTTATGCGGACATATTGTAATGATGTGTTTGAGTATATTGCTTCGTCGAGTTGCGGATCTTAGGAGTATTTGTACGTCATTTTTTTGTAAGATTTATTGTGCTAAAATATTCCTGACTTTTGCAACAAGAAATTATCGATTTGACACCAATATGTCTAGAAACCTTCCCGTCTGTAGACATTGTGATTTTTCTCAGCTGTGATAGCACTTCAAAGAGTATCAAAATTGTTTGACAAACATTACGTGTCGGTCAAACGTTTTCTTCACTATCAAATACTTATGAAATCTATCTTGCAACTAGAAGTGATTCTTTTCCTAGAGTGATATCTTCCATATTTTCTTGTACTTCTGTTACAACAGTTAAAAAATCATGTGCACCGACGAGTGACTGATCTTGATGTTGGCCACAAAACAATGTACTTGTGAACAATATGTGCTTGGAGTCACAGGCGGTAGGAAGAAATGACAACGAGCAATAGAACGAGTACGGGCCAAGGAAATGGAAGGGAGATAGATGACGGAAAGAAGAGCATGAGAACGGTTCACTCATACCTGCGACAAGTGCTTGTCATTCAAGTCAAAATAAGATGATGAGACTACATCAGATATCGGAGAAGCGAAAGCTAATTGGGTTGATGTTGTTGTTCTTGCTCGCATTTCTAGTGATATTTATCTTGATGTCATCTCTCTCTTTTTTTCTTTGGGTCGTGAGAGTGCCGTGCAATTTGAATTTTGAATTTGAATCTCAAGAGTTTGAATTTTGGGTTGCAGGGAGGTCAAGAAAGAACAAAGCAGGATTCAAATTTTACCGTCCTCCCCAAGCACTCCGTACTCAACCTTGTTCTCCTCTTGCTTTGACTCTTTCCTTGGTACTTCCTCATTCTATTGCTTGTTGTAATCTCTTCCTTCTGATTGTGGCCCCAAACACTCCGCTCTTGCTTTGACTCTTTCCTTTCTCGACATGCGACTCTAGGGTTGCACTCACGGATGATATCTAAACATCTCTATGTTAGATATCATCAGTACCTCGATAGATTTTATAATATGGACCACAGTGTGGCGTCGATGGATATCATTGGATAAAATGATAGGTGTTGGATCCCAAGAAGTATTTTGTATTACGTATTGATTTTTTCCAACAATTCTAACCAATTTTGCAGATTTAAGTAACTTGTTTCACACTCTGAAGAATAATGTGCAAGCTACATTATCACGATAGTATATGTGAAACAAATTTTCTTGATGCTCTCATATGTTTAGATTGTAAGTTCAGCTTCTCGAATCCAAAATGGTTGTGCAATTAGGAAAAAAATCTGTGTATATCGATGTACTTTTAAAAGTACATTTCATCAATGTTGTGTCAAAATTCACATCATATATGCAGCCTTTTTTTCTAATTGCATAATCATTTTGGATTTGAGAATTTGAATATACAATATAAATATATGAGAGCATCATGGAAATTTCTGTATATATGAAAGAGAGTGGAAGCTACTTCGACTCCCCTAGGATAGAAGGATGGCTGCACTCCCTCAGTTTTCGATGGCATACAAACATGTGCAGAGCCTACATCTTAATATCTCTTGGATTTTTGGAGCCTTGCTATTGTCTTATTGCTCTCTTTTTGGTTCACGGCTCCTTGCGGAACGCACCTTTTACTCCAAGAAAGAGCTGTATTGGCAAGGTGATTGGTCTCATTTTGATCTTCTGTCTTCCTGTACTTCTTCTTCAGCTCTTTCTCGTTGTCATCAGTCCGCAATGAGAAGAATGAAGGATATGGGAAGCTACCGAAGTCCTTCACGAGAACCTTCGAGGACATGGGATCTTCTCAGGAGGAGGAACATGTTGCTGTGTGCACTTACCCACTTTTGAGCACGTTGGTCCTCGCCCTCTATGGTTTCTTCTACATCATATACTTCCTGTATCTAGGGTGGAGGTTATTTTCGTTGGTCATCAACAGGAGGCTTCAGCTTCGAGTTTACGGCCTTGTGTTGGCGGTGGTTTTCCTCCTACCTGTTCACGTTCTCTTCTTATGCTTCTCTGTGTTGTCCAGGCCTAGTGAACCTGTCTTTGAGGCTATAGGTTTCGTGGGATTTCTTACAGTGCTCCTGTGTACAACTGTTGGAGAAAGGATTCTAGCAACCAGACCAATTGCCGATGCGCTAGCGGTGCATTAGGGTTTTCGAAAATGCTGAAAAGAAAAGAAGGCATGCAGTTGAGGAAGTGTCAGCAGAGCCGCTTCTTGTATCACTGTCTTTTGAACCGACAGAGATGACGCAGCCTTACTTGCCAGGCAGAGTCTCCTTAGAAAAGCTGTGAGTAATGTAGATCGAGATTCAGATCTGCGATGAAAGAGGTTTCTCTGGTACCGATATAATCCATATTGTGGTAACCTAACAAGCACGCTGTTCTTTCATCAACCCTCGTCATTTTGCTCTACTTGAGGAGCCAAGGCGCCATGTAGGTGAGTTTTTCATACAATATTGTTGGCTATTTTGGTCTTTCTCGCCATCAAATTTATCATACATTTGATATTTAGTAGTTAAAAAAAATCTCACAGTAAGAAGATGCTCTCGCCATCTATACTAATAAAAACATTTTGTTTTCATCAATCAGAACTCATGGTACAAACGGTTACACTCATCAAATGAAAATGATTAACTATTTTCTACTGCGAGCTTTTTCATGCACACTTTCAACGATAGATCATTCAAAAGAACCAACTAGATTCACGACCAATCAAATATTACCAAATCCACAGATTTAATAGAGTAACAGTCCCTTGCACTAGCCAGCCGTAATCATTGAAGTCGTCAAGATACGCAAGAACACAAGCGCTTACAAGCAGAATCTTGAGCTCAGTGAGTCATAGCTGATGATTTCCTCGTCTCGACTTCACATCGTGGTGAAATGTCAGAGCGGTTTGTCCATCGGGCGATGGCTGCGTTCAGAAATTAATTAACACCAAGGAATGGCAAGAAGGCAGACAGCACTCTGCGATAGAAGAAAAATTATATTTCTCCACCAAAATAGCATAATTAGGTTTCTCAACCTGACGTTGAATCTCTATATCGCATTTTTATCAAGGCGATTGAGCATTCTAATGACTCCTCTAATGCACTCTTCCTCATCCAATTGTCCCGCTTTTTTCACCTCGTTGCTCATTTTCGGATCGCTTTTGTTGCAGAGATCAAGCTCCCGATTGTCACTTCTCATGAATCACACTTGTTTTGAGTACACATTGCACGGCCTTGTACTATGTATCGATTCAAAAATAACTCATTACGTGTAGATTCAAAAATTAATTCATTTTTATCTACACATAGTAACATATAATAAATGTGTTGTGTTATTCTATGTCACTCTTCTTTCAAGAAAAAACTATGTAATCAACTTGTGAAAGTTATCAAAATGCTAAACACATCCACTCGTGAAGAAATCAAGTGTATGATTATAACGATGGCAGTCAAGCAAATGTTGCAGGACAGACCCTACAAAAGTTGAGAATTAGAGATACTGCGCATTCTTCATCATCCTAACATTGTGGCATTGAAGAATTGCTTTTTTTCACTATATGCAAAGATGAATTGTCTGTTATTCAAGCATGTTCTAAAGATGGTTTAAGATATTGCCAAACATTACAATTAGATCAATCAAGGGATGTCCTTGATTTATGTCAAACTCTCTATATATATATATATATATCAGAACTGCCACTAATCGAACCCCAGCCCCATTCCAAGCCCCGACTCTATACCGCGACGGTTCAGGAATCTCCCACCGGAGATTCTTGAACATGAACTGTTACTTCCACAGTGGCATTAGTGTATCTCCACAATATCAAACCTCAAAATCTTGTTGGTCAATCCTCATACCTATCAGCCAAAGATTTTCTACTTTGGAAATGCTAAAATTTTGATGAAAGAGAATTTCAATATCTTGTAGATATGTTTTTAATACCATCGACCAAAAATTTGTTTTCAACAACAGAGAGAGAGTATACACACACAACAGCTGTTGATCATATGTCAATCATATGATGGCTTAAGACTATCTTTATCATAAAAAGTGATGTTATCAATTTTTTTGAAACATTGCCTCGTGAGGAGACCAAATGTATGAATAGTAATTATAATAATCACAACTAAGAAGTTGTTGAAGTACAAACAGTACAAGAATAGAGATAATACGTCTGTATGATCATCCTAACATTGTTTCATTAAAACATTGCTTTTTCCCCGACTACATACAAGGATGAACTGTATCTCAATAAGGTGTCCAAGCGACGAGGTGTTCTAGAGACAGTTTACAGTATTGGATCAATCAGCGCATGCTTTGGGTTTATGTCAAGCTTACACTTATCAAATCTTCACTTGTTATCCGAAATAAGATTGATGTATGACATATATCATTGCAATATAGATGATCAAAATCTTTTAGTCAAACCTCACACCCACAAGCTAAAGTTATATGATTTTGGGAGTGCTAAAGTGTTGATAAATGGAATTTCAATATTTTGTAAATGTATTATCAATTTCAACCCCTAAATTCATTTTCATTGCCCCTTGTTACAGAACAGCCATTAAAATTAACATATGGTTCAATGGATTTCAAATTATATTTCACATTTTATATTAACTTAGTGCAAACTTGGGGATAATCAACACTCACATTGTAGTTGCAATTGTATATATCGTATTTGCAATTCTACACCATGACGCAAAAGAAACAATGCCACTCCTTCATATTACAACTATATTACAACTATTTGTACTTGACTGTACTATATATATGCAAGACTTCAGTACTACATCAACGCAATATTATATGTTATCTGTTAACATCTTATCTTGATAAAATATTTTATTTCGTGATTTATTCCTTTTAGAAAGTTTGTACATGTACAAGATTGAATTGCCTACTTCATTTTATAGTGTAAAACATGTTTGACTATTTGGTATTACATATTATATTCAACAAACCAAAATCTACTTCTCTTTCAAATAAAGTTTGGATATTTATACTTAAATTAACGAAGAGTGTAGTTACTGTTCGGTTTGGGCAAATTATCGCTCGCTCTACACAACTATTCCTATTAGGATTAGATATAGCCTTCGCAATTAACGAGAGAAATAAAGACATAGAAACCTTCTCTAGGGTAATGTAATATAACATTTTCCTGCATTACATCTTGGCTGTAGAAAGTAATGATTTTGATACATGATGTTACTTTCCTTCATACATAATTTTTTTTTACACTATGGTTATTTGACAGTAGTAGAATTTTTTCTTTACTTGTGTGTATCAAGTAATTGGTTATATTTTCTCCACAGTAATTTCGAATTAATCAGATGTGGTTGACATAGATAACTTTCATCGTTTCCGACAGCATTTCTTACCCACAGTTGACACAGGAAAGTATACATGTTCATTTGCGAGAACACTGTTGCGTTTCGTTCTTTTTTACAAGGTTGATGCTTAGATACATTTCACCAATTTTTCCTAACTTAATTGGTATTCAAGTGGACTATCAGACATTTCATAATGGAGCAGGTATATTCAGAAACTGGTATTTTTATTCTTTCGAGTATTTATTTTCTCATATTCTCTATAACAAGTGTCAAAATGTGACTCCAAGTCTGGTTGCAGTAATTATTCAATACAGCATGCACGCCATTTTCACACTTAACTTCTCATTTTCAGTGTCCTTGGACGATCCAGGGAAACTCAATCCTCCATATGCCCATCCTCCTTTGACTTCCTCGAAGATGTCCTCCGATTGAAGATTTTCTTCATGTTTCTTGGAAGATTAATCATCCAGTTCGGAACCTCGCCTCCGGAAGATTTGATGACGTTGGCTATAGAACGGAGAAGGGTGCGGTCTTTCTCAGTATGGAAGGTGATGGCCTCGCCTCTTCTCCCGGCTCTTCCAGTTCTTCCAATCCTATGAATGTATGTAGCTATGGTTTTGGGAAAGTCATAGTTTATAACGCAGTTTACGCCCTTGAAGTCCATTCCCCTGGCCATGAGATCGGTTGCAATCAAGATCCATGTCTTTCCCTCCCGAAATTTCTCCACGGCAGCATCTCGCTGATACTGAGAGCGACCTGCGTGTATGCTGTCGACGCTCACGCCGTCGATAGCAAGATCCCGGTGCAATTCTTTCGCCTTCTCCTTAGACTCCACGAACAAGAGAATTGGAGGCTTTAAGCTCTGCAGAACACCACACTGGCACCGTTCAGACACAGAATGTACACAATGATTTCACAAAGCAAAGGTTTGCAAGGTAACGGTAAATTGAAAAGTAAGTTTGTTCACATCAAGCACATCTTTCAGGGCCTAAAAAGGCGGATAGAGACAATCAACATGGCATCATTTCAGACCGCCCGTCTCCACATTTGTCATCATTAAGAGTGCTGACCTGACTCTCGTAATTACACACTGCTCAGTGGAAAAGTGAGAATCGTTACCTCTCTAAAAAGTTGTTTCAAAGCAAGAAATTTCCCATCTTCACTCCCGACATAAACTAGTCTTTGGTCTACAGTCGAGGCTGCGGAATTTCTGCGAGAAAACCACCCTTCTCGTCAGTTTCGAGCATTACAAATGATACTAGCATAATCTGGTTTCCAACAGAGTGAACCGATAGAAATCGAGTCTCCTATCTATTATATCTATTACCATCTGTGCGTTCAAAGATTAATTGCAGCAAAACTTGGAGGAATACATTTTTCCTGCTGACAAGCAGCATCAACTCGTTCTTCATCACTGATCTAGTAAAACTGATATTGATGTCGGTTGAAACATTTGACACCAAGGCCATTGGTAACCTCAGGTTGGTAAGTATAACGCGTCAATATAGCATCCGTATTTAACACAAGGGCACTGCCATTCCCATAAAACTTATTCCGCTCAGCACTCCGTGAGGAGGCTGAGCGGAACACGCTTTATGATCAGACTGCCACAGTGCTGGTTTAAATGCCTACATTACACCCTAACAGACACTCACCCGGTGTACAAATCACTACGCTAATTCTAGAGCAGCGATTTGGCACTTACTTCTCTCCTACTGTGATTCGTACTGGATCGACCATAATAGTCCTGGCAAGTTCCTCCACGCTGTCAGGAAGAGTGGCGCTGAAGAGAGCTCGTACAACTCTTGGACTTGAACACGCCTCGACGATTGTATCTATTTGCTTCACGAACCCCATCTCGAAAAGCTTATCCGACTCATCCATAACGAGATACTCCACCCTGATAAAAAACATTTCATTAGCCTTGGCAGATAGAGTAAAAATATATCAGATTCTTGAGTTCACTGCTGGCATTGCTCAGAACACAATCTAATTGTCGGCATTGGGACTTGTCCCTTAGATGTCCAGACATAATTATAGATAATCATCACTGCAATGGCCACGACACAGGTAGTGAAAGAACTCTTGGGAGAAAGTGACTTGAAGTCCGCTTACTTGTCTAGGCTCAGCTTTTTGTGCTTCAATAATTTCTCCAGCCTTAGAGGGGTGGATACCAGCACGTCGATCGGAAGATCTTTAATATTGGGATCCAAACACATTGACCGAGTTAGAGCCCGCACTCTTATTTTGCTGCCCTTTGTCATCTTCCTGAACTCTCGAGCAGTTTGGGTGGCGAGTTCCCTGATTGGACACAGCACTACGGCACGAATTCCATCTTCACTGTGCTTCTGTAAGCGGAAAAGAACGAAGATTAGTTGGTTGGGCACACAACTTTCCAATAAAACACGCTACTTGTTAAGTGTAGTGCTTGGCGTACTTTCAGAAGTGCACAACAGAGGATATGGATTGTCAGGAAATACCTTCAGATTCATCAATATAGGAAGGATAAAAGAAAGGGTTTTTCCAGACCCAGTTTGAGCGCACGCCAAGCATTCCCGTCTCTGAAAGAGACAGGAGAGTTGTATTCAGAACACGACAGGCAGAAGTACGCCACAATAATAAACCCAAAAGTTAACTGAGCAAATTTATGAAAGTCTACATCAGTGCGGCAGAACTTGGGACACTCACTCACCGCAAGAAGTGTAGGTACAGCTTGGCGTTGAATAGGTGTGGGTTCTGTGTACCCCGATGAAGTGATGTTGTTTCGAATGTACTTCTTGCAGCGATATCCGGTTCTATGTCAAGGTCAATCGTTCGCCCCAAACACTGACATCGCCTCGTTAAGGGTTCACGTGATTCGTAAAATGGAAGGGAGGAACGGGCAAAGCCAAATCTTTACGTAAAAACAGCGACTACACAGAACTCTGAAGTAGGATACTGTGATTTCAAGTCTTCGAAACTCGTCAGAGGCTGTGGTATATTTTGGCCAGACACATGAAGCCTGCAACGTTTCCTCAAAACGCTAATCGCTTCCGCCAGTCTTGCACTCGTATCCTCTTCTTGGACGGAGTCTTGGCCAGACACAGAGGCGACCTCAGAAACCAGCGAACCTGGAGCTCGGAAAATGTTGAACGCAGATGCTGCTTCGCTACTGACGGCGCCCTTCCTCTTCTTCGACGGACGCCCATTAGAGCTTTTGGCGTCAGGGGTTTTGATTTCAGGTCTGTCACCATTATTCGACTGGTTCTCGTCAGAAACCCCCAACTTACTACGATCTTCTTTCTCGCCGACGCTGAGTTCACCCGGTTTTCTCTGCAAAATAAAACGACCATCACGATTCGTTAAAGACTCGAGGGAGTTGCGAATGTACATGATCCAGCGACCCACAATAAAAGCTTAATGTGCTTCAGAAGACAAGTACAGGACAAGTGACTCGTCTCACCTTGAAGCGCTGAACTTCCGCAGAGAACTTCTTCTGGTCGAATCGCAACCCGCTGAACAAAACATTCGGATCCATGTCGACTCGGCTGCTTAGAGGCCTTAACACTGTGGCGTCCGTCACATACTCCTTTCTCTACCAGAGCTCGAAATCGATCGTGGGTGCTGGTTGAGCGTCGAGCGATGAGATTGTGGAATTAGACTCAGAGTCCAACTATAAACCCTGAACCCTAACGTCGGAGAATGAGGGGCCAGACGAGGAGGCCACATAGATTCACAGCGGACTATGTGAACCCTAACTGACAGCCGCGCAAAAATGTTGGTCTCCCAACCAGGTTCCAGAGTTTGCAGAAGAGAAATACAACATTTTCTACTTTCCGCGAGTCTACGAATATGAAGTAAACCATTGCTTTTTTTGCTCAAATGCTTGCCGCTACTAACGTTTGGCATTTTATGCGTATTGTGAACAAAAGTTATATTTCTGGAATAAACAGACTGCTCATGTTTCGAGAGACAACAAATTCAAGTCTTAGGTTGATTTTGTAAAGATGTACTAGTCTATTTAATAATTTCAGGGCTTTTTAACTCATATATTATCTATAAATAGGATTTTTTCCGAATCTCTTTTGCTTTTTTTTCTTTGTTCTATTGGGACCTAATTAAATTTTACGAAGATATGAATAGAACACTATGAGTATGTGTAATTATCATTTACAAATGTGAAATGTAATGTAGTGGGTTGTGAATATATAGTGGAATTAATGTGTGTTGGGCTATCTTTTTGCAATTTCTGTAGCTTCCCAACTCCTTACGCGATTTGCTACAACCAATTGTGATCATCTTGTGTGTGTCATCATTTCTTTAACTCGCAAGATATGAAGACACCTCTGAAATATATTAAAATTAAGATTTGTTATCGCGTGAGCATACACTGTCTACAATTTATTGCAGGTTTCCATGTCTATCAATAATTATCAATTCAATAAATAAGCACAGTTTATAGTTTTCACCAGATCTGACCATACGAGTGATTATAATCTCAATATCATTTCTAAACATTGTCAATGATTGATTCTTTTTTTCATATTACTTAATGTACTCCTCGCACCACACAGCTAGTGCAGAAATATCTATTCTCATTGATTGATTAAATATCATTTCATCAATCAACAAGTCAAATTAGTTTTTGTTTATTTGTTTGCTCTTACCCTGCTTTATAGCTCAGTATCAGTCAATTATAATTTCTAGCAATGTATTGTACAAAAATGAACATTTTACATTACAAACAATAATAACATGCATCATACATATGTATAACATTTTTGTTCCAATTCATTCGCCGCATTGTAAGAATTTGGACATGCGTGAAACTATTTGCATAAGTTTTATGATAACTTCATCATCAATATATAACATCATTATATCAAAGTCTGATTATAAGCTTGGTTTGAAGATCTTAAAGTTTCAACCATATAAATGAATTATATGATTATATAAAATGTATCTTTGAAATAAATTTTTCAACTTTATGTAAAAAATTATTACACTCATTTAGAAAATATCTATATACATCATTATTTTAGTATTTTTCATATTTACTATAATTGAATGCATGAATTAACTATTCAACATTAACATCTGCATAATTGTGCCCATGCAATGTGTCAATTACGATTTTGAAAAGTAATCAAAAGATAATTCTCATTTCCACATTTAACTTTATGTGATTTAATAAAGTATTCAACAGATTTAAGCTTAAATCTGCTAAATATTTAATATTATTCAAAATATCAAGTTGAACCAGATATTTAGTTCTTGTACATACCTTTCATGAGTGTCTTGTACCAAACATATTGCCTTATAATTAAATATTGCAATATTATTCACAGTTCCAGTAAATATGTTTTTCTTCTATGAGATGATGAATAACATTGATACTACAACAGTCACTTGTAGCTCTATCTAATTATAAACTTAATGTACATTTGAATTTATAATATAATTTGTTGAATGAATTATTTTGCACACTCTAGATTTTTTATGCAATATATACAAATAAGCTATTACTATTTCTGATTTTTTTTGGAGATTAAAATATTTTACTCATATTTTGTAGGTTCTTATTTTGTAAACAAATAGTCCAACAAAACTGTACAAAGAATGTAAAACAAACTTTGTGAGATGAAAGATGTATTTTCAACGTTTGTTGTTTCTAAAAATATGTCATGATATTTTATTTATTTCTTTAAAAAAAATCAGATTTCATAGCTTTTTTAACACAAAACAATATATTTATCTAAAAGTTTATATAAATATTAAAGAAGTTATTTCATATTTTCAAATATTCAAATTTGAGATTTTGTAAATACTTTATTTTTCAAAAAAATTAATTGTATTTTATAAAATATTTTCTTCCTGCAGTAATTGTATTTACCTGTTTTCACATAAAAATCTATAATCATACTATGACATACTTTACAAAATTGATCTTACGATTGAACATACAAGAGATAAAACATAGGTACATTTTAAATAAAATTCCTTAATTTTTGTTACAATCAGTTCACATGATTGTAACCAACCATTAGATGTTTTTTTGATGCATTATAAATTATAATAGTAAGTTTTTTTTAATCAAAAAACATATCGTTCTCTTAAAAGTTTTACATTACAATCAGACAATATTTTTCTTAATTTTGGTACCATCAATAATAATAATTAATAAATAATTACAAGATCAATTCCATCAAGCTTTGTTGATATTCATTGAAAGATGAGATGACATCAGCATGATTACAAGCTGAAAATTACATAAGATCAACGATAAAAATGAAGTATTAAGCATTGTTGAAAGTAATCTGATTTTTTTATATTAGCTAATCATAAATAGAAATAAATATCCTTGATTTACCAATGATGTTTTGTTGTATGATCTAAATCAATATTCACAAAAATCGAGAGAAACACTTTTTTCCATCATTGTTTAAAATAATAATTAAAAATACAATATGAATTAGCTTGGAAATAAACGTAGATTTTTTTAAAATTCTAAAAAAAATTAAAAAATTTAATATGATTTATTCATTGTCTTGATTGACACTGTTAATTATCATTATTATTATTATTATTATTTAAATGAAAACATATGCATCAATTTTTTAAAAATTTAATTTGTGAATTTGAACACAAAACATTGGGTTTTGTGATATAATTTTTAGTTTCAAGTTATTATCAATGAAATATGTAAAAAATTGATTGATATTTGATAATAATTGTAAATTTCATATTTTTGATTTCACATTTTAAATAATAAAAATAATTTATCATGAACAATTTTTAACAATTACTTAATATTTTAACAATACAAATAATTTACTTTATTATAAATTTGGCTAAAATATCATTCAATTCATGTATTTGACGATATGTACAAATAAATGCTATACACATTCAAGCTTTTATTCTACAAATTTATTTAATTTTAATTCATAAATTGATATGTATTTTGATAAAACATGTGGTTGAATATTTTCTTAGTATATATGAATTTGATTAATAATTATATTTAATAAAAGGAAAAATTGAACATAAAAATTTGATCACTATGTCATATTGTATAAATGCAATAATTTTTTTACATCTTATTAAATAGATTTTTTTCAATCAATACATAATTTAAAATATGATGGGTTGAAAATTTCAAAATCAATATAAATAGATGTGTATATTGATTTTGAAATTTTTTTTGCATCACATATTGTATATATAAATGAATATATACATCTATTCAAAAACCTTCATTCAATATTACACATATGCTTGAGATTGAGTTGTGAATCATTTCATCATAAGAATGTATGAAACAAAACAATGTTTTTATATAATGTATCATTTCATTGCACATATGAATTTGATGATAATAATTATGAAATTGCTTTGCAATTATTTTTTGGTTTAAAATAATTATATATTTTTTGAAATTGTATGCAACATTTTTTTAATTCATCAATTACAAATATACATTTTATGTTAATTTGCACAATATTTTTTTTAATACTTGTATAACTATACAAACATTTTATTTGCACAAAATATTTGATTCAAGGATGTTTTTTATAAAATAATGTATATGTATAATATGCAACTGTAAAATTCATAAGAAAAAACAAAAACATAAACAATAGATTCACACAAACTAGACGTTGACAAGTTAGATATTTTTTTTGCTACGACCATGAGTACTTAAAGGTTTATTTTTTGAGACTAACTACATCTCATCTTCCTATGTAATTTAAAACATGAAAAGCCTTAATTCAAATAAGCCATATTACTTTTGTATTTAAGTTATCACTAACAATCCACGTTATAATTCATATTGTGAGGACAAGAAACACAATGATCTATACGATAAATTTATAATATAAGCTAGAAGTTTATATAACATACACCATTCTGCAGAACAGAGCTAACTAAAAACTAATCAAAACATGATAGAGTGAAAATAAAAAAATGAACAAAAATTGTTATTTAATTCTATTTGTAATTCTTATGCAAAATCTGCATAACAACACAATGAATAGTGAAACTTTTCAAAATAATAACTTTGATCATTTCATATAATTTAACATTGATCTTGTCTAGCTAAATACTTCCATTAAATAAGATATCTTTGATAAAGTCATCTTTAATTTTGATTTGTATTTTGCTTTTCATGATTCGATTTGAAACAAGATATAATGCATTTTGGCTAAGATTAACAACCTCATGTTTCAATTTTCATCTCAATGATAAACAATTTATCTATATAACTTCATTTGTTGCTTCTAATGTTTCTATATATTAAACTTATCTTGTAGAATAAACTATGCAATTCTACAAAATAGATTTCTTACTAATGCATCCACCGAAAAGTGTAAGCACATATCTTGTTGTAAATAGCTTCTTGTCTAGATAATATTCATAGTCAACATACATGTAATCTATCAAAATTTCGACATTATAGAATAAATTATCAAACAATAATTCATAATTTATAGTATTCTTTGTATATATCAAAATCCATTTTACTAATTTTCAATGTAACTCTAATGAATTTGACATGTATTTGATTAATTTACTTATAGCTGAAGCAATGTAAGATCTCATGTATATCATCAAAGACATTAGGTTCTTTATAACTGAATCATAAGAAAGGAATGATATTTTTTACTTCTCAATGAAGTCAAGTGGATATTAAACTACAAAAAGTTTGAAGTATGTTAGCAAAGGCCTTCATATTCTTGTAGAGTCATCATGTTAAATTT